TCCTTTACAGAGTAGGGTGTCCTCAGAAAGCAGAAGAAACCCACAGCCCTTTGTTAAGTGTCTCTACCTATAAGAAACTATCATTAAACTTGGGAGTGTGCAGATAAGCTCACTAAAGGTAGGGGTTATTGGTGTTATCCATGACCATTAATCCTGCAACCTAAGCTTGCTCATTTGTTATCTTTAAGTAACGTGGGCTGCATTCTTAGGACATTTGGACATTCTGCAGGTTTGGTGGGATATGTTTTATATGGCCATAAATATTCTGTAACTATAATTGGTGGTCAGTTTGGGATGTGGTTATTTTCAGGCCATCAGCATGAACTTTGTAAATGCCTAACTACTCACTTTAAGATTGAGTCATTCTAGTCATGTTTTATTAAAAACCAGAGGCAGGTCGGGCACAGTGGCTCATGCCTGTAATCTCAGCACTTTGGGAGACTGAGGCAGGTGGATCACTCGAGGTCAGGAATTTAAGACCAGCCTGGCCAACGTGGTGAAATCCTGTGTCTATTAAAAATACAAAAATTTGCCAGATGTGGTGGCAGGCGCTTGGGAGGTTGAGGCAGGAGAATGGCTTGGACTCAGGAGGTGGAGGTTGCAGTGAGCTGAGATTGTGCCACTGCACTCCATCCTGGGTGACAGAGCAAGATTCTGTCTCAAAACGAAACAAAAAAAGAACAAAAAAAAGTTTGCCTCTCCTCTTCCACCTAAGCCTTTTTCCTCCCTGATTCTCTCTGTAGCTTCAATGGGCGGCATGTGCCTCTCTCTGGCTCCCAGATCGTCAAGGGCAAGTTGGCAGGCAAGCGGCACCGCTATCGCGTCCTCAGCAGCTGTCCCCAGGCTGGAGAAGCAACCCTGCTGGCCCCCTCAACAGAGGCAGGAGGTGAACTCACCTGTGCCCCAGCCCCCCAGGGCAGCCTAAGGATCCTTGAGGGTCCCCAGCAATCCCTGTCAGGGAGCCCTCTGCAGCCCATTCCAGCCAGCCCCCCACCACAGATCCCCCCTGGCCTGAGGCCTCGGTTCTGTGCCTTTGGGGGTAACCCACCAGTCACAGGGCGTAGGTCAGCCTTGATCCCCAGTTCGCTCACCTCTGGGAGGAAGAAAAAGGAGATGCAGGTGACAGAGGCCCCAGTCACTCAGGAGGCAGTGAATGGGCACGGGACCCTGGAGGTGGACATGGCTTTGGGGTCCCCAGAAATGGATGTGCGGAAGAAGAAGAAGAAGAAGAATCGGCAGCTGGAAGACCCAGAGGTGGCAGGGCCTGTGGAGACAGAGCCCACAGCAGAGACTTCGCAGCCTCTGGGAGTGCTGTTCCCATCTACCACCAAGAAGAGGAAGAAGAAGCCCAAAGGGACAGAAACCTTTGAGCCAGAAGAAAAGACAGCAGAGCTGGAATGGATTAACACTGAGCTTCTGGAAGAGACAGCCCTGTCCCCGACCAAAAAGAGAAAGAGGCAAAAGGGGACGAAAGGAATGGAGCCAGAGGAGAGGGTGACAGTTGACTCGCAGCTGCAGGTGAAGGTAGAGCCACTGGAGGAGGCCGTCCCTCTGCCACCTACGAAGAAGAGGAAGAAAGAAAAGGGACAGACGACAATGATGGAGCCGGGGATGGAGGCAACGGAGCCAGCGGAGCCAGAGAAGAGCCCTCTGAAGCTCCCAGGGGGGATGACGGAGCCTCAACGGCCAGATGGGGCTGAGCCTCAGGCCCAGGCAGCTCCGGCAGCTCCCAAGAAGAAGAGGAAGAAAGAACAACGGCAAAATGCCGCAGTGGAGCCAGAGCCAGAGGTGGTGGAGCCTGAGCTGCCGGATGAGCCTCAGGCAGCTCCCACATCCAGCAAGAAGAAGAAGAAGAAGAAAGAGAGAGGTCATACGGTCACTGAGCCAAGGACTGAGCTGACTGAGCCACCAGAGCCTGAGCTGCCAGGGGAGGGAGAGCCTGAGGCCAGGGCAGCTCCGGAATCCACCAAGAAGAGGAAGAATCGGAGTCGGGAAAGCCACGTGCCAGAGACAGTGCCCCAGGAGGAGACGCCGGGCCACGGCTGAACTCAGAGTCTGGGGAGGAGGCTCCTGCAGGCCGGGACAAGAAGCTGAAGCAGCAGCAGCCGCAGCCTGTGTAGTCTCCCCCAGGGAAACTGAGGAAGTAAAGAAAGCTGAAGATGCCCACCTGGACCACGAGAAGGTAACAGCCCAAGAACCCTGCCCCAGAGATGGCACCAGCACAGCCAGCAGGAGCCTGGCCTGGGAAGACGCTTTATTATTACACTGGGGTCTCCTCTGCAGCTGCGGTCATCGGTCATCTGGGCACTTTCAAGAAGGGCTCATGCAGGACATCAAACAGCCTCCGGGCCTGGGTAGGAGGGAAAGAAACGAGGAAGCTGTTATTAAAGGATTCTTGGGTGAATCCAGAGCGGGGCTGTGGTTCTTTTTTCTTTCCCATACCCTCAAACATTTATCCATTGAGTTACAAACAATCCAGTTACATTCTTTTCAGCTATTTATTTTTTCTTTTTTGAGTCAGAGTCTCGCTCTGTCACCCAGGCTGGAGTGCAGTGGTGTGACCTCGGCTCACTGCAGCCTCCGCCTCCCAGGTTCAAATGATTCTTCCACCTCAGCCTCCTGAGTAGTTGGGACTATAGTCGTGCACCAGCACTAATTTTTGTATTTTTAGTAGAGATGGGGTTTCACCGTATTGGCCAGGCTGATCTCGAACTCCTGACCTCATGATCCACCTACCTTGGCCTCCCAAAGTGCTGGGATTACAGGTGTGAACCACCGCGCCTAGCCAAGTTATCATAAAATGTAGTTGTTGATTATGGTCACCTACCTGGTTGTGCTATCGAACAGTATGTCTTGCTTTTTGTGGTACCATTAACCTTCCCACCTCCCTGCTAGCCCTTCACTACCCTCCCCAGCCTCCAGGAACCACCCTACTCTAGCTCCGTGAGTTCAGTTGTTTTGATTGTCAGATACACAACTAAGTGAGAACAAGCAATGTTTGTCTTTCTGTGCCTGGCTTGTTTCACTTAACATAATAATCTCCAGTTCATTATGTTGCAAATGACAGGATCTCATTTTTTTTTTTTTGAAATGGGTCTCGCTCGCTCACCCAGGCTGGAGTATAGTGGCATGATCTTCGCTTACTGCAACCTTCAAGCGATTCTCCTGCCTCAGCCTCCCAAGTAGCTGGGATGACAGGTCCCCGCCACCAGGCCTGGCTAATTTTTGTATTTTTAGTAGAGACGGGGTTTCACCACCTTGGCCAGGCTGCTCTCGAACTCCTGGCCTCAAGTGACCTGCCCGCCTCAGCCTCCCAAAGTGCTGGGATTACAGGCGTGAACCACCATGCCTGACCAGGATCTTGTTCTTTTTTATGGCTGCAGTGTACTCCATTGTGTCTATGTACCACATTTTCTTTGCCTGGTCACCTGCGGATGGACAAAGGTTGCTTCCAAATCCGCAACCAACGTAGGAGTGTGGGCGTCTCTTCAGTACACTGGTTTCCTTTCTTTTGGGGATATACCCAGCAGTTGCTGGATCACGTGGAAGCTCAATGTTCAATCTTTTGAGGCGCCTCTAACTGTTCTCCACAGTGGTTGTACTAATTTACTTTCCCACCAAAAGTATACGAGGGTTCCCGTTTCTTCACGTTCTCGCCACATTTGTTATTGCCTGTCCTTTGGATAAAAGCCATTTTAACGGGGCTGAGATGGTATCTCGTTGTTGTGTTTTTTGTTTTTTTAGACGTAGTTTCACTCTTGTTGCCCAGGCTGGAGTGCAGTGGTGCGATCTCGGCTCACTGCAACCTCCATCTCCCAGTTTGAAGCGATTCTCCTGTCTCAGCCTCCCAAGTAGCTGGGATTACAGGTGCCCACCACCATACCCGGCTAATTTTTGTATTTTTAGACGAGGTTTTGCCAGGTTGGCCAGGCTGATCTTGAACTCCTGAGCTCAAGTGATCGGCCCACCTCAGCCTCCTAAAGTGCTGGGATTACAGGCATGAGCCTCTGCGTCCAGCCTCATTGTAGTTTTTGATTTGTATTTCTCGATGATCGGTGATGTTGAGCAACTTCTCATATGCCTGCTGCCCATTTGTATATCTTTTGAGAAATGCTAATTCAAATCCTTTGCTCACTTTTTGATCGGATTATTATTTTTTTTTCCTATAGAGTTGTTAGAACTCCTTCTATCTTCTGGTTATTGATTCCTTGTTAGATGGTTAGTGTGCAAATCGTTTCTCCCATTCTGCGTGTTGTCTCTTCACTTTGTGGATTGTTTCCTTTGCTGTGCAGAAGCTTTTTATTCTTTTTTTTTTTTTGAGACAGAGTCTCACTATTGTTGCCCAGGCTGGAATGCAGTGGTGTGATCTCGGCTCACTGCAACCTCCATCTCCTGGGTTCAAGCAATTCCCCTTCCTCAGCCTCCTGAGTAGCTGGGATTACAGGCATGTGCCACCACACCTGGCTAATTTTTTGTATTTTTAGTAGAGATAGGTTTTCACCACGTTGGCCAAGCTGGTCTTGAACTCCTGACCTCAAGTGATCCACCTGCCTCAGGCTCCCAACAAGCTGGGATTATAGACGTGAGCCACCGTGCCCGGCCTAGAAGCTTTGTAATTCGATGTGGTCCCATTTGTCCATTTTTGCTTTGGTTGCCTGTGCTTCTGGGGCATTACTCAAGAAATCTCTGCCCAGTTCGATGTCCTGGAAAGCTTCCCCAGTGTTTTCTTATAGAAGTTTCATGGTTTAAGGCCTTAGATTTAAGTCTTTAATCCATTTTGATTTGATTTTTGTATATGGCGAAAGATAGGGGGTCTAGTTTCATTCTTCTGCATTGGATTGCTTCTGCCTGGAGACGTGGTTACTCTGTCACCCAGGCTGGAGTGCAGTAATGTGATTATAGCTCACTGCAGCCTCAACCTCCTGGGCTCAAGTGATCCTCCCACCTCAGCCTCCCCAGTAGCTGAGACTACAGGCACATAGCAAGCACATGGCACCATGCCCAGCTAGTTTTTTTATTTTTAGTAAAGATGAGATGTCCACTTGCCCATGCTGGTCTCCAGCTTCTGGCCTCAAGCAATCCTCCCGCCTTAGCCTCCCAAAGTGTTGGGATTACAGGTATAAGCCACAGTGCCTGGCCTTTGGTTCTTTTTTCATCTTAAAACTTTGGGGTCTCAGGTTGTGTTTATTTGGGGCTCCCTCCTTCCTCCAGCTCCTTGGGTTCTTTCCCAGAGCTCTTACCTTCTGAGGGCCCAGTCCTGGGCATAAGGCCAGATCTTCTCTCGACGCAGCAATGAGCTGTTCCAGAGACTGGAAGATGAAAGCCAGGGGTCAGGACAGCTGAGCACAAAAGCCTCTCCTGGCCAGGTGCGGTGGCTCACACCTGTAATCCCAGCACTTTGGGAGGCTGAGGCAGGTGGATCATGAGGTTAGGAGTTCAAAACCAGTCTGGCCAACATGCTGAAATCCCATCTCTACTAAAAATACAAAAATTAGCCAGGCATGTTGGCGTGTGCCTATAGTCCCAGCTACTTGGGAGGGTGAGGCAGGAGAATCGCTTGGACCTGGGAGGCGGAGGTTGCAGTGAGCCAAGATCACGCCACTGCAGTCCAGCCTGGGCAACAGAATGAGACTCCATCTTAAAAAAAAAGTTTCCCCTATCCCAGCTGAGGAGGGGCCTCAGATACTCCCCAGGGGAGGTGAAAGCCTGTGGGAGGGCAGGACAGGCCAAGGCATGGGCAGGGAGATGGAAGGAAATAGAAGAGAGGTTTCCCAGAAAAGGCAAGAGGACAGAAATGCCTGTGGAGCAGGGGGGCCATTCCTTACCCCAAATGTGGTCAGGAGGGTCTGGCTGTCCGTTTTGTTGACTGACTTCACGGTGGTAAGACATTCAGTCACCTGGAAGGGGGAGGAGGCAGGAGTGTCTCAGGAGAGGAAAGGCCAGTGAGACTGAGCCTGTGAGGGCAGGGCTGGGTCACAGCTGTGTCCCCAGACTGTCTGGTATGCAGGAGGCACTCAATAAATGCTCTTTTTCCCAACTGACTAAAAAGTCATCCCAGGCTGAGGATGGTGGCTCAGGCCTAATAATCCCAGCACTTTTGGAGGCAGAGGCAGGAGGATCACCTGAACTCAGGAGTTGGAGACCAGCCTGGCCAATACGGTGAAACCCCCATCTCTACTAAAAATACAAAACAATTAGCCAGGCATGGTGGTGTCCCCTTGTAGTCCCAGCTACTTGGGAGGCTGAGGCAGGAGAATCACTTGAACCTGTTCACTTGTGCTGAACGGAGATCATGCCACTGTACTCCAGCCTGGGTGACAGAGCAAGACTCTGTCTCACTGAAAATAAAAGGCCGGGCTTGGTGGCCGGTGCCTGTACTCCCAGCATTTTGGGAGGCTGAGGCAGGTGGACCATGTGGATCATGAGGACGAGATCCAGACCATCCTGGCCAACATGGTGAGACTCCATCTCTACAAAAAAAATACAAAAATTGGCCAGGCACGGTGGCACGCACCTGTAATCCCAGCTACTCGGGAGGCTGAGGCAGGAGAATCGCTTGAAAGGAAGGCAGAGGTTGCAGTGAGCCTAGATCACCACTGCACTCCAGCCTGGGTGACAGAGCAAGACTCCGTCTCAAGAAGAAAAAAAAAAAGAGCTTTAGGTGCAGGAGGCTGTGTGATCTTTTCCCACAGTCCCCAGGACAGGGCTAAATGGCAGACCCCTCACCATCCCTGCATCGCTGGAGTCCAGATTCAACAACGCAGTCAGTAAACACTGAGTGCTGGGTGCTGCTGGAGACACAGCGGGGATGAAGACAGCCCCAAGCTGCCCTTCGGGGGCTCCCAGGCTGGTTGGGGAGATAAATCAGTTTCAAACAATGATGGCCCAAAGGGACAGACAGGGCTGGATGGGGGAGCCCAGCAGGAAAACTTAATTTGGCCTGGGGATCAGAGAGGGCTTCCTGGAGGTGGTAGTATCAGAGCTGAGATGTGAAAGATGGAATTAGGCAGGGAAGGCTTGGCGTGGGTGGCTCATGCCTGTAATCCCAGCACTCTGCAAGGCTGATATAGGCAGATCATGAGGTCAGGAAATTGAGACCACCCTGGCCAACATGGTGAAACCCTGTCTCTACTACAAATACAAAAATTAGCTGAGTGTGGTGGTGGGCGCCTGTAATTCCAGCTACTCAGGAGGCTGAGGCAGGAGAATTGCTTGAACACGGGAGGCAGAGATTTCAGTGAGCTGAGATCGCGCCACTGCACTCCAGCCTGGAGACAGAGCCAGGTTCTGTCTCAAAAATAAAAAATAAAAAGAAGGGGCAAGTGCTTGGAGGAGTGAGCTAGGCCTGGGAGAAGTGAAGTATGAAGTGGGGGCCACGGGGCTTCTGAGCCAGATGGGGCCTTGTTGAGTCTGATGAGAAGCTTGGGCTTTCCCTCAGGGCACTGGGGAGCCATGGAGGGCTTTGAGCTGGGGAGGGCAGCAGCATATTTGTGCTCCAGAAAACCCCTCTAGCTGCAGTTTGGGTGGGATGGAACAGGGGAGAAGAGGCCCGGGGAGAAATGGGCAGTGCCTTAAGATTGGAACTGAAGCTCAACCACCAGGGAGCTGTGGGGAGGCCCAGGCAAGGATGGGAGGTGAGCTGGCCTCACCCGGGAGACGAAGTCCTGCTCTAGCTTCTCCATCAGGAGGTCCGCTGGTTTCTGCTCATAGGCCTTGTAGGTCTCCAGGTACCGCCCAGCTTCCTCAGGGCTGGATAACAGGATACAGGACAGCCGGGAGGTAAGTTACCAGATTTTAGATTTGCCTCATTGTGGTCAGTTCTAAGAACTAGCGATGCTATAAATCAAGTTTCCAGCCTTGCCCCCTGCCAAATGCAACCTGATAGTAACCCCTGCTGGGCGCCTCTTGGCATCTTTTTTGATTAAGGGCCAGCTCTTGGGAGCCTGACTCCACTTCTGCCTGGGTGACCCTGAGCCAGCGGTTTGCTCTCTGGGCCTCAGTTTCCTCACCGTAAAGTGAGGTGGCCAGGCATAGTGGCTCATGCTTGTAATCCCAGCACTTTGGGAGGCTGAGGCAGGAGGATCACTTGAGCTCAGGAATTGGAGACCAGCTGGGACAAGATAGCAAGATATTGTCTCTACAAAAAATTAAAAATTGCTAGGCGGGGCTGGGCACAGTGGCTCACGCCTGTAATCCCAGCACTTTGGGAGGCCGAGGCAGGGGGATCACCTGAGATCAGGAGTTTGAGGCCAGTATGACCAACATGGAGAAACCCAGTCTCTACTAAAAATACAAAATTAACCAGGTGTGGCGGCGCATGCCTGTAATCTCAGCTACTTGGGAGGCTGAGGCAGGAGAATCGCTGGGAGGCGGAGGTTGCGGTGAGCTGAGATGGCGCCATTAGACTCCAGCCTGGCCAACAAGAGCAAAACTCAGTCTCAAAAAAAAGAAAAAAAATTAAAAATTGGCCAGGTGTGGTGTCTCAAACCTTTAGTCTCAGCTGCTTAGGAGGCTGTGGCAGGAAGATTGCCTGAGCCTGGTAAGTTGAGGCTTCAGGAACCTGTGGTGGTGCCACTGCACTCCAGCCTCGGCAACAGAGCAAGACCCTGTCTCAAAAAAATAATAAAGTGGGAGGATGGTATGATTGTGAAGATCAGAGAATACTCTGCAGTGCTCTGTAAGTGCTCAAAGCCGTGCCTGGCACTGCTGAAGAATGTTAGCTATTTTGGAAGGGAAGTAAGCACACAAAGTGTGTGTACTGGGTTTGACAAGAGGAAAATCAGAACCACTGCTTCTTTTCCCACTGCAGCAAGAAGCCAACCTCATGAAATGTTCAGCTTCCTGCCGGGCGTGGTGGCTCATGCATGTAATCCCAGCACTTTGAGAGGCTGAGGCAGGAGGATCACCTGAGTTCAGGACTTCGAGACCAGCCTGGTCTACACGGCGAAACCTCATCTCTACTAAAAATACAAAGCATTAGCTGGGCATGGTGGTGGACACCTGTAATTCCAGCTATTTGGGAGGCTGAGGCAGGAGAATCCCTTGAACCCTGGAGGCAGGGCCAAGATCACACCACTGCACTCCAGCCTGGGGGACAGAGTGAGACTATCAAAAAAAAAAAATATTAAGACTTTGTTTTACAGATGAGGAAACTGAAGGCCAGAGAGAGGCAGTCCCTGCAACAGGCCCACAGAGGAAGGAGGAGGGAAGGGCTGGGCAGGCTGGGATGGGGGAGTAGGGACCAATCCCAGGTAGAGCCTGAATCAGGCGGAGAAGCCCCCAGCTCACCTCCAGGCGAGGATCAGCGTACAGTCGGCCAGGATGCACATCTTAGCCAGCTCCTTGAGGGCCTGCTGGGGATCTTTCTGGAGGAGAAAATCAGAATTAGAAACCTAAAAGCCGGCTGGGTGTGGTGGCTCATGCCTGTAATCCAAGCACTTTGGAGGCTAAGGCGGGTGGATCACCTGAGGTTGGGAGTTCAAGACCACCCTGACCAATATGGTGAAACCCTGTCTTTAAAAATTAAAAAAAAAAAAAAGAAACCTAAAAGCCAGGAATTACAAAAATTAGCTGGGCGTGGTGGCAGGCACCTGTAATCCCAGCTACTCATGAGGCCGAGGCAGGAGAATCACTTAAACCTGGGAGGCGGAGGTTGCTGTGAACTGAGATTGCACCACTGCACTCTAGCCTGGGCAACAGAGGGAGACTCTGTCTCAAAAATAAATAAAGGAATTACAAAAGCCTGAAAACTCAGTAGCTCAGGATGCAAAGAGCCTTTCACCCAGTTGTCACTCTCAAGCTCCTACTGGGTGCCCAGCCTGTGCTGGGCAGTGCCAGCATCCAGCAGTGGCTGAGAGAGCCCTGACTCTGCCCTCCTGGGGCACACAGTCTGATGAGCAGGACAGACCTCTCCCCAGACATTAATGACCTGGAATGGCCAGAGCTGAGATGTGGGAACCAGAGCAGGGCCTGAGCCTACCTGGGGGATCAGGGAGGGCTTCTTGGGAGGAGGGGACATCTGAGCTGAGACCCAAAGGAGGATGAGGAGGAGGAAAGGATGAAAAGAAGAGCAGAAAAGGGAACTCCAGACATAGAGAACAGCATGGGTAAAGGATGGAAGGGGAAAGAGGGCTTGGGAAAATGCAGTGCTCTCCATATGGGAGAGAGGATGTGAGATTCCATGACAAGCACGGAATCTTAGAGATGGGCCTGGAGAAATGGGTAGAGGTCAGAGGTCACACAGGGCCCCATGGGTCATGGAGGAGAGCAGAACTTCCCATGAGAATTTTAGGATTTTTTTTTTTTTTGAGACAGAGTCTCACTGTTACCCAGCCTGGAGTGCAATGGTGTGATCTCAGCATACTGCCACCTCTGCCCCCTGGGTTCAAGCAATTCTCCTGCCTCAGCCTCCCAAGTAGCTGGGGCTGCAGGCACATACCACCACACCCAGCTAAATTTTGTATTTTTAGTAGAGATGGGGTTTCTCCAGGTTGGCCTGGCCAGACTGGTCTCGAACTCCTGATCTCAGGTGATCTGCCCACCTTGACCTCCCAAAGTGTTGGGATTACAGGTGTGAGCCACTGCACCCAGCTGAGTTTTTTTTTTTTTTTTTTTTTTTAATTTTTAGAGACAGGGTCTTGCTATGTCACCCATTCTGATCTTGAACTCCTGGCCTCAAGCAATCCTCTTCCATGGGGTCGGGTGAAGTGGCTCACCCAACCTGAGGCAGGAGGATCACTTAAGGCCAAGAGTTCAAGACTAGTCTGAGCAACATAGTGAAGACCCCATGTCTACAAAATACAAAAAACACCTGGATATGGTGGTGTGTACCTATAGTCCCAGCTACTTAGGAGACTGAGGCAGGAGGATTACTTGAGCCCAGAAGCTCAAGACTGCACTGAGCTATGTCTGGACCACTGTGCTCTAGCCTGAGCAACAGAGCAAGACCCGGTGTCCAAAAAAAAAAAAGAGAGAGAGAGAGGCCAGGTGCGGTGGCTCACTGCTATAATCCCAGCACTTTGAGAGGCAGAGGTGGGTGGATCACTTAAGGTCAGGAGTTTGAGACCAGCCTGGCCGAAATGGTGAAACCCTGTCTCTACTAAAAATTCAAAAATTGGCCAGGCGCTGTGGCTCATACCTGTAATCCCAGAACTTTTGGAGGTCCTTGGGAGCCAAGGAGGGCAGATCACCTGAGGTCAGGAGTTGGAGACCAGCTTGGCCAGCATGATAAAGCCGTATCTCTACTAAAAATACAAAAATTTATCTGGGCATGGTGGTGCACACCTGTAATCCCAGATACTTGGGAGGCTGAGTCAGGAGAATCACTTGAGCCCAGGAGGCAGAGGTTGCAGTGAGACAGCACTACTGCACTCTGGCCTGAGCGATAGAGCGAAACTCTGCTTCATTGAATAAATAAATAAATAATACAAAATATAGTCAGGCGTTGGTGTCGTGTACCTGTAATCCCAGTTGCTCAGGAGGCTGAGGCAGGAGGATGGTCTGAACCAAGGAGGCAGAGGTTGCAGTGTGCCAAGATGGAGCCATGGCACTCCAGCCTGGGTGACAGAGTAAGACTCCGTCTTAAAAAAAAAAAAAAAGAGAGAGAGAGATGGCCAGGGCAATGACTCACATCTGTAATCCCAGCACTTTGAGAGGCTGAGGCAGGTGGATCACCTGAGGTCGGGAGTTCAAGACCAGCCTGGCCAACATGGTGAAACCCCATCTCTACTAAAAATACAAAAATTAGCTAGGCATGGTCACACATACCTGTAATCCCAGCTACTTGGGAGGCTGAGGCAGGAGAATTGCTAGAACCTGAGAGGCAGAGGTTGCAGTGAGCCAAAATCTCGCCATTGCACTCCACCCTGGGTGACAAGAGTGAAACTGTACCTCAAAAAAAAAGAGGCCGGGCACAGTGGCTCAAGCCTGTAATCCCTGCACTTCGGGAGGCTGAGGCAGGCAGATTGTCTCAGGTCAGGAGATTGAGACCAGCCTGACCAACATGGTGAAACCCTGTCTCTACTAAAAATACAAAAATTAGCTGGGTGTGGTGGGTGCCTGTAATCCCAGCTACCTGGGAGACTGAGGCAGGAGAATCGCTTGAATTCAGGAGGCGGAGGTTGCAGTTGAGCTGAGATCTCAAAAAAATAAAGGGATATTGGCCGGCACGGTGGCTCACGCCTATAATCCCAGCACTTTGGGAGGCCGAGGTGGGTGGATCACGAGGTCAAGAGATTGAGACCATCCTGGTCAACAAGGTAAAACCCCGTCTCTACTAAAAATACAAAAATTAGCTGGGCATGGTGGTGTGTGCCTGTAATCCCAGCTGCTCGGGAGGCTGAGGCAGGAGAATTGCTTGAACCCAGGAGGCGGAGGTTGCAGTGAGCCGAGATCGCGCCATTGCACTCCAGCCTGGGTAACAACAGCGAAACTGTCTCAAAAAAATAAAATAAAGGGATATTTAGGTGGCAGGGGTCTGGGACTAATAGAAGGGGATGTGGGGAAAGAGGAAATAGGTAGTTTTGCCCTCCCGCCTCCTTGCCAACACACATGGTGACCCATGTCAATCTCAGATGTGAAAAACGTTCCTCGCTGAGGTTTCAGCTGCATTTCTTCTTGGAAGGGATTCAACAGTCCACTGCACAACCTCGAGGCCCAGCCCTCCCCACTTCACACATGGGGACGGTGAGGCCAGCTGGGGAGTGACCCCTGCTTACCACATCCACCTGGATGAGCAGGACCCGAAGGGCGAAGTTCTTCCCCAGGTTCTGCAGCCGCTCATGGATGTAGTCCGGGTGCAGGTTGTGGTAGCGGAGGCTGGTGGGGGCAGGGAGCGGGATTTGGGAGGTCTCAGTCTCTTCCAGACCCCCAAAGCCCTTTTGCCCTCTCGCTGGAATGCTAAGGGCTCGGAGTATGGCACAGGGGACAGAGGGGACCTGAGGCCCACAGAGGGTAAGTGACTTGCTACAGGTCACTCTTCCAGGAAGATGCTCCAAAGGGATTGGCAGCCAGGGCCACACGGCCGCAATGAACCAGAAGGCCAGGCCCCTAGCTTCTTCATGAAGAGGTGAGCCTCCAGGGGAGAACAGGCACCAGGGGCCATGGAGAGTGTGGTCCGGGGGCGCTCATGGCTCATGGTAGGAAGCAGGGCTCACCACCAGCCCATCGGCTCTGGCCTTGGAGGGCTAAGCTGAGGGCTTCATGACCCAGGGAACTGGGCCAGCTCTGACCAGCACTCTGCAGCTCTCACAGCCTGTGGGGAGCACAGGGACTCACAGGTTCACTTCCTCTGTCTAGCCCTGTTTGCAGAGGGGCCCTTGGGTTGGAGGGGGAAGTTGTTTAACGAGGGTAGAGATGGGAGAAATCCTGCCTCTTGTCAACATCAGTCAAGGATGTCTGGGACGTCAGTGGCCCAGCCCCTCCTCCCTCTGACCCAGGAGTCCAGGTCCCCAGCCCCTCCTGCCTCAGACCCAGGAGTCCAGGTCCCCAGCCCCTCCTGCCTCAGACCCAGGAGTCCAGGCCCCAGCGCCTCCTCCCTCAGACCCAGGAGTCCAGGCCCCAGCCCCTCCTGCCTCAGACCCAGGAGTCCAGGCCCCAGCCCCTCCTGCCTCAGACCCAGGAGTCCAGGCCCCAGCCCCTCCTGCCTCAGACCCAGGAGTCCAGGCCCTAGCCCCTCCTGCCTCAGACCCAGGAGTCCAGGCCCCAGCCCCTCCTCCCTCAGACCCAGGAGTCCAGGCCCCAGCCCCTCCTCCCTCTGACCCAGGAGTCCAGGCCCCAGCCCCTCTTCCCTCAGACCCAGGAGTCTAGGCCCCCAGCCCCTCCTCCTTCAGACCCAGGAGTCCAGGCCCCAGCCCCTCCTCCCTCAGACCCAGGAGTCCAGGGTCTGGACTTGTTATACCGGGCACCTCCAGGCCAAGAACCCTTCCCTCCACACAAGGTCCCACCAAGGCCCAGCGCCTGCAGGACCATGCCCAGAGGTTTCTCATACAACAGTCCAGAAAGTTGGAACATGACCCTCCGAGGCCAGTGGGGCGCCCTTTCTGAAGGCTGGGGTGGAGCTGCAGAGCTCACCTGAGGAACAGGGCACAGGTGCTCTGGCCCAGCACATAGTCAGGGATTACATCGCCAAATTCCCAGGGCACATTGCGTACGAACTTCAGTACGGGATTGCCCCTCTGGGGAGGGAAGAAGGGCAGAAGCCATCAATAGGAATGACTCTTGGCAACCACAGGGCCCTCCTCCCCCTCTTCTGGAACCTCTACCCTCCTCCCTCCTCTTCCCATACCTCCTCCCTCCTCCCACCTGTGCCCCGGTCTTTTCCAGCTTCACTCTCCTCCTTCCAACCCTGGACAGTCCCTGGTCCTCTGACCCAGGCTCCTCCCCTCCCTTCCCACCGGTGCTAGGCCTTTCCTAAAGGGTCCCTGGTCTGTGTCCAGTTCAGCCCTCTCTCCCAGCCCCAATCTGTGTGTTCTGTGGTCCTGAACACTTCCTGCCCCCATGCCCGGCTAATCTTTGTATTTTTAGTAAAGACAGTGTTTCACCATGTTGGCCAGGCTGGTCTCAAACTCCTGACCTCAGGTGATCTGCTGGCCTAGGCCTCCCAAAGTGCTGGGATTACAGGCGTGAGCCACCACACCTGGCCTCATTCAGTACATTTTGAATAAATTAACGAACCTGGGGTCAGGAAACAGCTGCACCAACACAGCCACAGCCCCAGCAAGAAGAGCTGGGACACTCTCAACCCACACACCACTGTTGAATGAATGAATGAATGAATGGTGAGAACAAAGTGGCTGGAAAATACACCTCCTTCCACCGGAGTCATCCCTAGAACAGCGTTTCCCACTGGAAACCTCAAGGCCCCCCTTCTCTGTCTCTCTCCTCACCTGCCGAGGGCTCACAATGATGCTGTTGGATTTTGCCCCTGGTTTCAGGGCCTGGTTGCAGGTCTCTCCTGCCAGTGTCTCTGACCCTGTGGGACACGAAGCCTCAGGCCCTCCTGGAGGCCGTGACATGACATATTCAGCATAGGTCTGAGGGGCCGCCTGAGCCGAGGTGTCCACAGTGGGAAGGCTCTTTGTGGATTTGAATAAAGGCTTGGCCTGTAGGGAGAAATGGGGTTTGGAGGGGACTGGTTGGGATGAGCGGGGGACATCTGAAGCCCTGTGAGTCCCTCTCCCTTTTTTTTTTTTTTTTTCGAGACAAGAGTCTCACTCTGTTGCCCAGGCTGGAGTGCTGTGGCACAATCTTGGCTCAGTGCAACTTCCGCCTCCCAGATTCAAGTGATTCTCCTGCCTCGGCCTCCAAGTAGCTGGGACTACAGGCGCGAGCCACCACCCAGGCTAATTTTTGTATTTTTAGTAGAAACGGGGTTTCACCTTGTTGGTCAGGCTGGTCTCAAACTCCTGACCTCAAGTGATCTGCTCACCTCGAGTAGCTGAGACTAACTATAGGCATGCGCCATCACGCCTGGCTAATTTTTGTATTTTTTGTAGAGACAGGATTTCACCATGTTGTCCAGGCTGATCTCAAACTCTTGACCTCAGGCGATCCACCTGCCTCAGCCTCCCACAGTGCTGGGGTTATAGGCATGAGCCACCGCACCTGACCCCTGTCCCTCTTTAGGGCTTCCCATCCTCCTTCCTCCTAATGTCCCTTCCAGAGGGCTGAGAGCTCAAAATCTGACTCCAGCCACTTCTCTCCACCTCCTCAGCCTCCACTCTGGTCCCAGCCACCAAGGTTTCACCCTTGGACCACTGAAGTCACCTCCTCACCAGCTCCTTGCCTATACCTTCGTCCCCTGGAAGTCTCTCCCTACACTAAGTCCTCATGTCCCTCCTCTGATCAGAGCTGGCGGGTGGCTCCTGGCTCAGAGGGAAAGCCAAAGCTGTCCCCATGACCCACAAGGCTCTAGATCTGTCCCCGCTCCTTGCCTCAGGGACCACACCCTCTGCCACTTCCCCCTTGCTTTCTCTGCTCCAGCCCCACTGGACTTCGTGCTGCCCTTGAATGTGGCAGGCTTCCTGTGACCTCAGGGCTTCTGCACTGGCTCTTCCCTCCACCCTAGATGTCTTCCTGGCTCACCTCTTTCATGTCTCTGCCAATATGTCACCTCCTCAGGGCCCTCCCTTGACCTTCCTATCTAAAGTAGGAAAGGACCGGGCATGGTGGCTCACACTTGGGAGGCTGAGGTGGGCTGACCACTTGAGGTCAGAAGTTCGAGACCAGCCTGGCCAACATGGTAAAACCCCATCTCTACTAAAAATACAAAAATTAGCCGGGCATGGTGACATGTGCCTGTGGTCCCAGCTACTTCGGAGGCTGAGGCAGGAGATGCTTGAACCCGGGAAGCAGAGGTTGCAGTGAGCCAAGATCACGCCACTGCACTACAGCCTGGGTGACAAAGCCAGACTCCGTCTCAATAAATAAATAAATAAATAAATAAATAAATAAAGTAGGAAGGTCCTCTCCCCCATCACGCCCTATATCGTTAGCTTACTTTCCTTTTCTTCATAGCCAATACCCATCGCCAATTGATTGTTTTCCCTTGGAAAGGAGATTTCTTTTTTTTTTTTTTTTTTGAGACAAAGTCCTGCTCTGTCTCCCAGGCTGGAGTGCTGTGGCCAGATCTCAGCTCACCGCAACCTCTGCCTCCCAGGTTCAAGCAATTATCCTGCCTCAGCCTCCCAAGTTGCTGATATTACAGGCGCCTGCCACCACACCTGGCTAATTTTTTTCTTTCTTTCTTTTTTTTTTTAAATAGAGACAGGGTTTCACCATGTTGGCCAGACTGGTCTCCAACTCCTGACCTCAAGCAGCCCACCCGCCTCAGCCTCCCAAAGTGCTGGGATTACAGGCGTGAGCCACTGCGCTCTGCCAATTTTTGTATTTTTAGGAGATGCAGGGTTTCACAATGTTGAAATGATGAAATCTTGGCTCACTGCAAACTCTGCCTCCCAGGTTCAAGCAATCCTCCTGCCTCAGCCTCCCAAGTAGCTGGGACTACAGGCATACACCACCATGGCTAGCCAATTTTTATATTTTTAGTAGAGACAGGGTTTCACCATGTTGGCCAGGCTGGTCTCAAACTCCTGACCTCAAATGATCCACCCGACACCGCCTCCCAAAGTGTTGGGATTGCAGCCATGAGCCACGGGTTCGGGCCTTTAAGATTTCAATATTGCCAGGTCCTTTCATTTACCAGAATATGTGTAAAGTACAGTTTCGTTTTTTAATTGCAAAACCTGACAATTTTTTTTTTTTTTTTTTGAGACGGAGTTTCGATGTTGTTACCCAGACTGGAGTGCAATGGCAGGATCTCGGCTCACCGCAACCTCCACCTCCTGGGTTCAAGCAATTCTCCTGCCTCAGCCTCCCGAGTAGCTGGGACTGCAGGAGCGCACCACCATGCCCAGCTAATTTTTGTATTTTTAGTAGAGACGGGGTTTCACCATGTTGACCAAGATAGTCTCGATCTCTTGACCTCGTGATCCACCCGCCTCGGCTTCCCAAAGTGCTGGGATTATAGGCGTGAGCCACCGCGCCTGGCCAAAACCTGACAATTTTCAAACACGAGCAATAAATTCATGTCTTGAAAAATCAGGGTGCTGGCCTTGTAAAATACATCAGGGACTACCTGCTGAATGTCAGTTTCTGGCCGCCGCCTTAGCCCTCTCTTAGAACCACTTCCATTTCACAGATGGGGAAGGTGGGACCTATGGAAGGCCAAGGACTGTTTTCCCAAGTCAACCGTGGCCCTCAAATTCACTAACCCACTCCCTGGTCCCACAGGGCCCATCCTATCCTCTTCCTCCTAACACCCCCCAACCTCCCAGGGGCCCCGCATCTCCTTGTCCTACCACTGCAGGAGGGACCGCATCCTCGTCGAGGGGTATCACAAATTTCTTCCTTGCTGGCGGCCCTGCGGGTTGGGGCACTCCCTCCTTGTCCTTCCCAGGGTCCATTTGGAGCCTGAAACGGAAGGTGCCAGGAGCGAGTGAGCCATCAGCATCTGCGTTCTCATCCCCTACCAGGAACCCCCACTCACAGCTGTCCCCGACAAAACTCCCAGAGCTCCTTAGCGCCAAGCCCCAAACACTCAGCGCCCGAGGCTCTATAAAGTCCCTCCCCTTCGACATACACCTTCGGCTCGCCCCGCCCCTTACAAGTCCACAAGTCCCATCGCTCCGCCCCTCGCCCCCACCGTCCACCGCCTTCCGTTCGCCCGGCCCCCAGGGCTAGCATCTGGACGCCCTCCCAACGCCTGGCCTTGTCCATCTCTCAGACTCAGCAATGATTCGCTTCTGCGGCTGCCAATCACCACCCGCGGTCTCCGCCTCCCGCCCTTCTTGTCCTGGACTCGCGGGTTCCGCACCGCGAGGCCTCCCTCACCTGAGGTTCTTGGAGCCTTAGGGGAAAGACTGGAGGAGGATCGAGGCGGCCCACCGCCAGCTCGGCCAGCGCGGCCCAGGGCTCGCCGCACTTCCGGCCTCTCTGGCCCCACTCCCCAGGAGAGTAGAGCATACAGCAGGGCGATCCCTGTGCAACTCTCTATGGTCCTGGAGGACCGCGGAGGTCGTGGGAGAAGAGAGGTGTAACTTAGAGGGTGTGGCTCCCAAACTGTTCAGTTCTAAAGTCTTTATTGAGCGCTTCTGTGTGCCCAGGCCCCGGGCAGGGCTCAGTAGAGAAGAGATCGCAGGAGATCCAACTTGGTCCCTCCTCTCAGTACTGAGAGGCTTAAGTTTGAATCCCAACTCAGCCATTGACTTGACCTCAGTTTCCCCATTCATTCATTTACTCCACACCTATTCCCCCCACGCGCTTCCTCTGTTCCCGATCCTGTGCGAGTCCGTGCCAGTGACACAGCAGTGACCAAGGACAGCCCCGTGTAGTCCTCCCGGAGCTTAAGGTTTAGTTTAGGGACACAAGACATCACAAACCGTATTGACCTACAATGGGTAGGTCTGGGATGGAAGATCCCGGGAGAGCCGTGGGAAGGAGGTCAGGGAGAGCGCCTGACTCAGCCCCGGGGTCCGGAAGGGCTTCCTGGAGGAAGGGACATCTGAGCAGGGGGGCCTGGCTGATGAGTTAGTATTAGTCACTTCCTGAAAGGATAGTATCACACTGTTCTGACTTGCAACTCTCTGATTACTCAGGAAATGGAACGCTTTTGTGAATGTATTGGTCTTATAAATTATGTCTTCTGTGATTTGCTTGCTGATATTCCTTGTCCATTTTTAAAATGGGTTGTGTGCCTTTTTTATTACTACTAATTTGTAGGAGCACTTTATGGATTCTGATTCTAATCCTTAGTTCCATATATTGCAAACATTTCCTCCTAGTTTGTACTTCGGGTTTTAAAGTTTAGTTATTTTTGGCACAGAAGTTATTTGTGTTTATGTGAAACTATTTACCAATCTATTCCGTTCTGACTTTTGTTTTGGTGTGTTGTTTAAGAGCACTGCCATAATCCAGGGTCATAATGATACATTCTATAGTTCCTTTTATCTATGTAAAAGATAAAAGCCTGGTGTTGTCTTCCTGGAGCTTACGGTTCCATGAGGGATGTAGACATGTTCCCAAACCGTGATGATCTAGAATGAGCAGGTCATCTATCTTTAATCTGTGTAAGATTTATTTATTTATATATTTTTGAGACGGAGTTTTGCTCTTATTGCCCAGGCTGGAGTGCCATGGCACGGTCTGGGCTCACTGAAACCTCCGCCTCCTGAATTCAAGCGATTCTCCTGCCTCAGTCTCCCATGTGGCTGAGATTCCAAGTGCGACACCACCACACCCAGCGAACTTTTGTATTTTTATTAGAGATGGAGTTTCACCATGTTGGCCAGGCTGGTCTCAAACTGCTGGCCTCAGGTGATCTGCCCGCCTCAGCCTCCCAAAGTGCTGGATTACAAGCGTGAGCCACCGTGCCTGGCCAAGATTTTTTGTTGAAAGTGTACCGAGGGGCCGGGTGCGGTGGCTCACGCCTGCAATACCAACACTTTGGGAGGCCAAGGCGGGTGGATCACAAGGTCAGGCGATCAAGACCATCCTGGCCAACATGGTGAAACCCCTTCTCTACTAAAAATACAAAAAAATTGGCTGGGTGTGGTGGCACGCACCTGTAGTCCCAGCTACTCAGGAGGCTAAGGCAGGAGAATCGCTTGAACCCAGGAGGCAGAGGTTGCAGTGAGCTGAGATCACGCCATTGCACTCCAGCCTGGATGAGAGTGCGAGACTCCGTCTCAAGAAAAAAAAAAATTGCACCTCGGTAGTGGTTTATGAGTTGTCTCAAGAAAAAAAAAATGCACCTAGGTAGTGGTTTATGAGTGATAGAACCAACTGTCTCAAGTTGACCACAGGTAGATCTTTTCTACACTATTCTGAAATTCTGCCTTTATCCCAGAGCAAATTCCCATAGACACACAAGCCTATTTCTGACATTTCTGTGTTGTTAATTGATCTTTTCATTTGTTCTTTCCTGCACGTGAGTGACCATCCCTCTGTCTCCTTCACGTCAATCTTGCATCTATGGATGTGTGTCTCTGTGTCTACATTTTGCCACTTTACTTATTATATGTATATGTTTTTTGCCATGCATGGTGGAACATGCCTATAATCAATCTTAGCACTGTGGAAGGCCAAGGCTGGTGGATCACCCGCGGTCGGGAGTTCGAGACCAGCCTGACCAACATGGTGAAACCCTATCTCTACTAAAAACACAAAATTAACTGGATGTGGTGGCGTGTGCCTATAATCCCAGCTACTCAGGAGGCTGAGGCAGGAGAATTGCTTGAACCTGGGAGGTAGACGTTGTGGTGAGCTGAGATTGTGCCATTGTACTCCAGCCTGGGAAACAAGAGTGAAATTCCAGCTCAATTTTTAAAAACATTTTTTTTTTAGATAGGGTCTGCATCTATTGTCCAGATCTATTGCCCAGAGCCTTGCTCATCTGCAAATGCCTTTTTCTTTTCACCCTAACAATTGAAATCCAGAATCCTAGGCTGGGCACCGTGGCTCACACCTTTAATCCCAGCACTTTAGGAGACCAAGGTGGGCAGATCACTTGAGCTCAGGAGTTTGAGACCAGCCTGGACAACATAGTAAAACCCCATCTCTACAAAAAAAAAATACAAAAATTGGCTGGGCAGGGTGGCTCATGCCTGTAATTCCAGCACTTTGGGAAGCCGAGGCAGGAGAATCGCTTGAACCACAAGGCAGAGGTTGCAGTGAGAAGAGAGCAAGCTACTGCCCTCCAGCCTGGGTGACAGAGCCTGACTCCATCTCAAAAATAAAAATAAAAAAATTGCTAGGCATGGTGGCATGCACCTGTAGTCCCAGATACTTGGGAGGCTGAGACAGGAGAATCACTTGAGCCCAGGAGTTTGAGGTTGCAGGAACTATGATCATGCTACTGTACTCCAGCCTGGGCAAAAGAGGCTCTGTCTCAAAAAAACAAGTGCAGATTGCTACATAGTATGAAGATAAAACACAGTCTGTGAAGCAGGTGATGGGGAGGGGAGCCATACAGCTGCAGAAAGAGGGGCTCTATGCATAATAGTTACGATCAGCTAAATACAGATCAGACACTTGTTATGGAGTAAGGCCTTGCAGCAGCCCTCCCTCTAGGCATCATTACCCCATTTGACCCATGAGGGAACTGAAGCCCTGGGTGAGAAGGAGCATGGAAATACGCCTCTGTAGGCCAGGCACGGAGGCTCACACCTGTTATCCTAGCACTCATGAGGTCAGGAGTTCAAGAGTAGCCTGGCTAAGATAGTGAAATCCCCTCTACCAAAAAATACAGAAAAATTAGCCGGGCATGGTGGCCGGCCCCTATAATCCCAGCAACTAGGGAGTCTTAGGCAGAGAATTGCTTGAACCCAGGAGGTGGAGGTTGCAGTGAGCCAAGATCACACCACTGCACTTCAGCCTGAGTGACAGAGTGAGACTCTGTCTTGAAAGAAAAAAGAAAAAAGAAAGAAGGAAAGAAAGGAGGGAGGGAAGGAGGAAGGAGGAAGGAAGGAAGGAGGGAGGGAGGGAGGGAGTGAGGGAGGGAAGGAAGGAATGAGGGAAGGAAAAGGCCTCTGTATCCAAGGCCATACAGCGTTTCTTGAAGTAGGTCATCCCAAGTAGAAGGGCTTGTGACTCAGTTCTCCCTTTGGGGAATGGAATTACCAGACTTAACCCTGCAACTCTTGCGTTTTCCGCCATGGGGCGATGGTGCACCACAAGAGGACTGAAGTGTTGGGGAGCCGGGGCCGCCGAGCCAGAACCCAGCGGTGGCAAGACCCCCTAAATCCCGGCCCCTTCTCCGCTCCCACTGATTTCCTTGCCGCAGAAGTGCTGCAAAGGGCCCACCACCTGCGATCAGTGGAATTCTGAACCTGTCTACGTTAGTTAAGACCGAGGGTGGGGGTGGGAAGTTGCCCTCGGTTCTACCTTATTTCCAAGTTGGATGTTGGATTTCTACCCTCAGATTTTCTATTTTTCTTTACTTTTTTTTTTGAGGCCGAGTCTTTCTCTATCACCCAGGCTGGAGCTCAGTGGTGTGATCACAGCTCACTGCAGCCTCAACCTCCCGGGTTCAGGTGATCCTCCCACATCAGCCTCCCAAGTAGCTGGAACCACAGGCGCGTGCCACCACGCCTGGCCAACTTTTGTTTTTTTTGTTTTTTGTAGAGGTCCGGGGTGGGGGTGGGGGTCTCACTATGTTGCTCAGGCTGGTCTCGAACTCCTGGGCAACAGCGATCCTCCCTTCTTGGCCTCCTAAATTGCCGGGATAACTGGCGTGAGCCACCACGTCCGGCCTAGGCTGTTTCAAAACTAAACCTTGGAATCCCGGATTAGAATTTCTCCGGCTCCCAGAGTTGCGCGTTCGAATCCCCACGCCGTATCCACGCTCCGATTCCGCCTCTTTCTTCCAAACGCCCCAAGTTCCAAACTTCAGCGGTAACTCCAGTTTCCTGGGCCACTCCCCGGCTCCGGCCCCTGCTCCTGTCCCCAACCTTCCCCTCCTCTCAACTTCCAGCTCTTTGTGCGCTCTGGAACGGGTGGGGTGGGGACGGAGACTGTAAGGGCCGGAACCTCACCGCTAATTCCGCCCGAGGGGACCTGAACCCGGAGTCGAGAGCGGCCCGGCCGAAGGCTCTGGAAGCGGGCACCGCCGGGGGGCGCAGTGACCAGGCTGGCGTCCCCGCCCGCCTCTAAACTTAGCCGCGGTGACGCGCGGCCCGGCGATCGCGGCGGGGCCGGGGACGCAGGGGGGCCCGAATGGAGGGGGGGCGGCTCGGCTCCGCGAGCCTCTATTTATAGCGCCCGGAGCCCGAAATAGCGCCGAGCGGAGCGGCCGGGATGACGCGGGAGCCTCCGGGGGCTGACTCACCCGGCCCCAAGCGGAGGCCCCCGGATGGGGGGCAGTGGAGGGGCCTGGACCCTACTCCGCGTCCTCCTGGGCACCTCTTCTGCTGGGACATCCCAAGTCTCCGCTGGAGAGGCTGCGGATGGATGTACAGCAAAAGGGAAGATCTGCAGCATGAGAGAATGAGGTTGGATCAAAAGTGGGACTTCCACCAAAAAAGAATCCAGAACCCAGCCAGGCGCGGTGGCTCACGCCTGTAATCCCAGCACTCTGGGAGGCCGAGGCGAGCACATTACCTGAGGTCAGGAGTTTGAGACCAGCCTGGCCAACATGGTCTCTACGAAAAATACAAAAATTAGTCGGGCGTGGTGTCAGGCGCCTGTGATCCCAGCTACTTGGGAGGCTGAGGCATGAGAATTGCTAGAACCCGGAAGATGGAGGTTGCAGTGAGCCGAGATCGTTCCACTGCACAATAGCCTGGGCAAAAAGAGCGAAACTCTGTCAAAAAAAAAAGAAAGAAAGAAAAGAACAAAAAGAGCCAAGGACCTATTTATACAAAAAGAGAA